TTAAACAGCCACTAATTAGTCCAAATTAGCTCCTAATTGACCTGATTCAGCTCCTAATAAAGTCCGTCGATACTTGATATCCTAAGTAAAGTTTAGGATGCCACTTACTTGGAAACCTAAGCTAGCTCGACTGAAGGGGAGGGGTGGCAGTCCGGCGGCCACTCGGCGGGCGGACGGCGGTGGCGGGGGGCGGTAGTGGCTAGACGGTGGCTGGTCATCCGCGGCTGGACAGAACCGAATGAGGATGGTGGTGATGATGTTCGGTGCACGAAAAAATAGGGAGGGAGAGGTGGTGAGGCAGTGGTGGCGATGGCGAGGCCGCGGCTTCACGGGCGGACGGCGGCGGTCCGGCTCGGCGGGGAAGCGGCGGCGACGGCTAGCCTGGGCGGCTGGCCACGGTCACGGTGAGGTGGGGAGGAAGCTGGGCCGGGAGGGAGTGAGGGAGAGAGAGGTGCCGAGAGTGAGAGAGAGAATGAGAGGGAGAGAGAGAAAATGGAATAAAAAGACTAAACGGCCAATAATTGGTGTTTAACACCCTAGGAAATGACCATCCTACCCTCCTCTCTATTTCCAAATCAACGGCCACGATTCAATCTTATCCTAAGATCGACGACCAAGATTAATCTTTACTAAAAATATCCAGGGGCAAAATTGAAATTTCACAAAATTCCCAAGGGCAAAATTGTCCAAAAATTTATATTTCTAAAGTTAGTATGAAATGACCAAAATGCCCCTCTCACATAATACTTGGCCTTAACAAAGTCCCAGGGGTAAAATGGTCATTTTCCATTTCTTGCCAAAAATCGAATTTTCTAAAGAATCCGGACAAATCTAAGGCTGACCGAGCTAATAACAACATTGTCCAATTATCCTGTCGTGATCTTCATAATTTCCATTGCCCAATCTTGGTCTCTAATTAATGATTAAATTTAATTAACATAACTTGAGCGTATCTGGAACTAACGGGTGGCTTTTGCGGAAATTCGCACATTTGACCCATGGCCGATACTGAATCAAGCCACGTTTAAGTTCACTCGGGTCGTGACGACTTCGGTTGCCACTTAATCGCAAGGATTGATCGCTAGTTCCGACGGGCACGATCGTTTGGTATAGGTTTGGGGTCATTTGTCAATTCATCTCATGGTCAAGCGGAATCACCCGCGATCCACTAATATGATAGCGGCGAATTGATCCCTAACTATTCTTGGATTGGCCTACATTGGCTCAAAATGTCACCTCGACAATTTTCATGATCGAAAGTCAGTTCACGATCGAATTTCTTTGGTCGCGCGAATTTAAATGCCTAATTAGCCATCCCTTATTGGTTAGTATCCGAGGAGTGATCAGTTCCGGGCGAGATCTAACTACAATCACGTTCATAAAATCATCCATTTCATAAATCCCAAGTGGGTCGGATTTCAGAATGTCACAACTCTTCCCCCCTTATAAAAATTTCGTCCTCGAAATTTACAATTCCACCTACTACTCAAATAAGTGGGGGTATTGACATTGCGTTAGCTCTTCACTTTCTCAAGTAGCTCTTTCTGTCCCGTGATGTTCCCAAACAACTTTGATCATCGGGATTGTCTTGTTCCTTAGAACTCGTTCCTTCCAATTTTCGATCCTTATTGGCCTTTCGACATACGAAACTCTATCGTCAACTTCTATCTCTTCGTAATTCAACACATGAGTTGGGTCTGGTTCATACTTTCTCAGCATCGACACGTGGAATACGTTATGCACTTGCGACAAATTTGGCGGTAATGCAAGGCGATAAGCTAAGTCTCCAATCCTTTCCAAAACCTCAAAGGGTCCCACGTACCTCGGACTCAACTTCCCTTTCTTACCAAATCGGGATAATCCTTTCATGGGCGATATCTTAAGGAATACGTGATCCCCTACTTGAAATTCCAAAGGTCTTCGCCTTCTGTTTGCATAACTCTTTTGACGGCTTTGAGCTGTCTTCAGCCTTTCACGAATTATCTTAACAGCTTCAACTGACTGTTGAACTAATTCTGGCCCGGTTATACTGCATTCTCCAACTTTGTCCCAACACATGGGCGTTCTACAAGCTCTGCCATACAGCGCTTCAAATGGCGCCATTCTCATGCTCTGCTAAAAACTATTATTGTACGCAAATTCCGCTAAGGGCAATTGTTCTTCCCACTTGCCTTGAAAATCCAACACACATGCCCGAAGCATATCCTCTAGAGTCTGAATTGTCCTCTCAGACTGTCCATCCGTTCGTGGATAGTAAGCTGTACTAAACTGCAGCTTTGATCCTAATGCCGTCTGCAGACTTTTCCAAAATTTAGCGGTAAACCTAGGATCACGATCCGAAGTAACTGTCACTGGCACCCCATGCAAACGGACTATCTGTTGTATGTACAATTCAGCATACCGATCCAATGCGAAGTCCTTTCGCATGGCCAAGAAGTGCGCTGACTTTGTCAATCTATCAACAATCACCCAAATGGAATCATGGCCTCTTTGGCTTCTTGGTAATCCTATTACAAAATCCATAGCGATATGTTCCCATTTCTACTCTGGGATTTCCAAAGGTCGCAACAATCCTCCGGGCTTACAATATTGCGCTTTCACTTGTTGGCACGTCAGGCACTTGGCTACGTGCTTAGCTATGTCCACCTTCATACCATTCCACCAATAGTAGTGTCTCAAATTCTGATACATTTTCGTACTCCCTAGATGGATACTATAATTACTACGATGCGCCTCCGACAAGATTTCTTCCTTAAGTTCCGCGTCGTCAGGCATGCACAACCGTCCATGGAATTTCAAGATCCCATTCTCGGATACTTAGAAGTCCGGCTTTCTCTTGGTAACATTCATTTCCAGAATCCTTTGGATTTCTTGATCTGTAGACTGTAAGGCCTTAATCTTAGTCTGGATTTCTGGTTCAATTCTTAAAGTGGCAATCAAGCTCGAAACTTGACTTACTTCAAACTTAAAGTTCGAGTCTCGCACTCTTTCCAATAAAATCCATTCTTTGACCATCAAGTGTGCGATGCTTGATTTCCGACTCAATGCATTGACTACCCGGTTGGCCTTTCCGGGGTGATATAAAATATCACAATCGTAATCCTTAAGTAATTCCATCCAATGACGCTATCTCATATTAAGCTCCTTTTGAGAAAACAGATATTTCAAACTCTGATGGTCTGTATATATCTGGAATTTCTCTCCGCATAAATAATGTCGCCAAATCTTAAGGGCGAATATGATCGCAGCTAATTCCAAATCATGCGTCGGATAATTCATTTCATGCGGCCTCAATTGTCTTGATGCATAGGCTACTACTCGTCCATGTTGCATCAGCACACATCCTAATCCTTTCAACGACGCATCACTATAGATTTCGAAACCTCCAGATCGTGACGGAATAGTCAATACCGGTGCCGTCGTCAATCTATGATTTAATTCTTGAAAACTCCTTTCACACTTGTCAGTCCACTCAAATTTCGTTTCTTTCTTTAACAGACGTGTTAATCGCATTGCTATAGCCGAAAATCCTTCCACAAAACGTCTATAGTATCCTACCAAACCCAAGAAGCTTCGAACCTCGGTTACCGTCATCAGTCTTGGCCACTTTATCACGGCTTCAATCTTTGTCGGATCTACCGAAATTCCATCCCCCGAAATCACATGTCCAAGAAATGCTACTCGACTGAACTAGAACTCGTACTTACTAAACTTGGCGTACAGTGCGTGTTCCCTTAAGGTCTGTGAAACTTTACTCAAATGAAACTCATGCTCTTCCGAGCTCTTCGAGTACACCAATATATCATCTATGAAGACTATCACAAATTGATCTAAAAACTCCTTAAACACCCGATTCATTAAGTCCATAAAGGCAACAGGGGCGTTTGTCAATCCGAACGGCATCACTGTAAATTCATAGTATCCATATCTCGTCCTGAACGCCGTTTTCGGTATGTCCTTTTTCCTGATCCTCAATTGATAATATCCCGTCCTCAAATCAATCTTAGAAAATACCGAGCCCCTTGTAACTGATCAAACAAATCATCTATCCTTGGCAGGGGATATTTATTTTTAATCGTTACTTGATTTAACTGCCGGTAATCGATACATAACCTTAACAACCCATCCTTCTTCCTTACAAATAAGACTGGCGCTCCCCATGGAGACGCACTTGGGTGAATGAAACCTTTATCCAATAACTCTTGCATTTGCACCTTTAACTCCTTTAACTCTGACAACGACATTCTATAAGGTGCCTTCGAGATTGGCTCAGTCCCAGGGGCCAACTCGATTACAAACTCTACCTCTCTTTATGGTGGAAATCCCTGCAATTCCTAAGGAAAGACATCGGGATAATCGCACACCACGGCTATATCCTCTAGCCTCGGCTCCTCAGCCGTCGAATCAATTACAGCCGCTAGAAATCCTTGACACCCTTCGTTCAACAACTTAGTCATTTCCAGCGACGAAATCCAAGGGATCGAGGTTCCCCCTCGGTTTCCCACAAATTTGAATTCCGAATGTCCAACCGGATTAAATTGGATCACCCTGCTACTACAATCTATTACGACCCTCTGCTTAGTCAACCAATCCATGCCCACTATCACATCGAAGTCATACATGGCTAAAACCGCTAAATCTATCCTTTCCTCCCTATCACCAATCACAATCTTACAATCCGGGCACCCTAATGAGACTAGCACCATATCATTCAACGGAGTGGTAACACACAACACAACATTAAGCAATTACGGTTCTATTCCAATCAAGTTAACAAACTGTTCCGATATAAACGAATGTGACACCCCAGGGTCAAACAAAGCATATGTAGAATGATCGCATAGAGAAACCGTACCTGTGACTACCCCTGGCGCATTCTCAATCTCTCTCCTGGCCATGGCGTACACCCGTCCTTGGGCCAATGGCCTATTCTGATTAGCTGACGAGGCAGCTCCAATTTGGTTACCGTTCCGGGGTGGCGGCAACGCAAGCGACCTATTCTACTTGATATTGGGGCAAGACCTTATTCTGATGACCAAACCCGCCACATCCAAAACAAGCTTCACCCCTGCTCGAACAAGGTCCACTTCCATGTCTTTTTCTACATATCCAACATGGACCGTTCTGAAAACGGTTTGGTTTCCCGATATTCCTTCTAGCAGGAGGGACGAAACGTCGATTACCCGTCATTGGCCTCTTCCCTGAGTGTTGTTCCTACCTTGAGCAAATCTTGACCCAGAAGTGGCAGCCCTATCCGCCAAGTCGCGCTCAATCGCTTGGGCCCGATCATAGATCTCGTTATAATCCCTCAAATTTAACGAAATCATTTGGCTGCGAAGGTCCGGCTTCAAACTATCTCGAAACCTCCGAGCCCTATCCAACGGGTCCTCCACCATCCTTGGAGCAAACATAGATAATCGAGCGAATTCAGCCTCATACTGATCTACATTCCTCTGTCCCTGACGAAGCCTCATAAACTCGGCTAACTTCTGTTCCCGAGCACTCTCAGAAAAGTATTTACCATTGAAAACTTCCACAAACATCGCCCAAGTTTGGGCGGTACCAGCCGGGAACACCCTTCCTCTGATGGCTTTCCACCAATTAATTGCATTCCCTTGGAGTTGATACATCGCCAAGGTCACTTTCTCTTCCTCGGTGCACCCTAGTACATCAAAGGCCTTCTCTAACTCCTCTACCCACAGTGATGCAACCTCAACGTCGCCCTTACCATCAAATTTAGTGGGCTTTAATTTCAAAAACTGTTCAACTAGCTGATACATCTGCCTATTCACATTCACTTGCCCCTGCCCTTGATTCCCATTATTATTATTGGCGGCGGCCACAGCGGCCTCAGCAGCTTGGGCAATAGTGGTAGCTTGTTCCTGAGTCTGCCGTCCTATCAAATTATCAATCTCTTCCAGGGTCCTCATGACCGCATCCATTCTCGGATCTCCTACAGGTCAGGCTCGTGAACTGGATAGACCCTCTGTTCCTCTACCTCTCAAACTCATCCTCACGGTTTCTATCACTCGCCTACCTACTACAATTCCACTCGGGAATTAGAGACCTATGCCAACTATACCAGTCTAGTCCTAGGCAGTAAATTAACATAATAATTCACACAGCAGGTAAGTAATCACAACGGCACAAGGCCATAATCAATAAGGCATGTGCACTTACCTCAGGTCCAGACGGACCTACATTCCAATCGTTATAACACTCAATTCACTCAACAGTCACAACAAACAGTTTGGAGGCATGCGTAGCTCATTCCACACCTATGACTCGCTAAGGTCTCCCTAGATGACTACCCCTAGGGTCTTCCCTCCTTATCACTCCAGGCTTCGACCAACTTGGATCGAGCTGTCCATGCTCTGATACCAATTCAAATCGGGATGTCACGCCCCGAACCCCATCGAGCACGTGGCATCCCTCTTTGGTCAAATTAATACGACGTCCCAGGAAGTCGCCGACCCCACACATTAAATATAAAGCATCGGCGGAAGCAACAAACACCTAGAAAATATTTAACTAGGGGAAAAAGGGAGAATATACACTCATTACCGATTCAAACTTATACAATATCTACAATTTACAATCCACATAATGTACATGCACACCGAACTTCTAGACTTTACACCACCGATATCAAAAAGGATCAGTAGCCTGGATCAATCCTAAACTAGCCCCTACGCCCTCTAGATGGCGTCTACTCCGAGTCAGACTTTTCAGAACCCGAGTCTGAATCCTCCTGAGCCACCTGCTCCTCTGAGGGCTCAGAGTCTGCCTCGATCTTAATCGGGTTGTCCTCATCACCCGACTCTAACGGGACCTCAATCTGCTCCTCCTCTTCAGACTCCTCTTCTGGCTCTTCCTCTGGCTCATCCTCTGGTTTTAACTCTATATCTTCTGCTGGTTCCTCCTCTAAGGCCTCCTTAGGCTCTCCTTCGGGCTCTTCTTCTTCAGGTTCTTCTTCTAGCACTGCGTCTAGATCCACATCCATCGGATCATACCTTACCTGTGATTCCTCCGGATCAGGCTCAGCCACTGACGGTTCGAGTGCTGCAAGTGAAGGCTGATGTCCGAACTGTGCGAGGCTAGTCTCTAGACTAGTCATCTCACTGTCAGGAGGGGGTATGGCCGACGGATCCCAATCTCCCACTCCATTAAACGGAACATCAAAGCCTCTAACAGGGCCAAACTAGTCCAGCCCATCCCGGAAGCACCAAGCCGTGTAAGTGTGGGCCTGCCAAAGGGGTTGCCTTATGTCTACCCAGACTACCGTAGTATGCTTAATCCAAGTCATTTTCTCATCTATCGGATATTCTACCACGTTATGATCGGTGTGCATCGGAATGCCAAAACGCTGAGATGGCGGCAGTGAAAGATTCATGGTTCAGGCCGGGGTTTTGAAATTGTTTGGTTAAACAACCACGAGACACGTCTCAGCAAGTAAACACCCTAAACCCCACCTAGGAGAACACGTACCTCCAGACAAGACCAAACATAATAACACTCAGCAACCACATGACATGCATGCAATTGCACTTACTTGGGCTTTTAATGCGCACAATCTGCACATTAGTCTCAAATACACACAAATTCCAACCACATACACATTCCAAATAAATTTTTATGCCCACAGACAAAGTTGAACCTATGTCATTACCAAACTCGACAATTCGCATACACTCGTTCATGCACCATCACACCATTTTCATTTGACTTACCAGCGACCCGCATTACAGTAGACGCCTCAGATCCACTTTCAATACACGGTTCACATCTGACCGTCTCAAATTCACAACACTTCTTAGCCCGCGTTACAGTACACGCCTCAGGCTATGTCTCTTGCCGCGTTACAATACACGCCTCAGGCTCAACATCCTCCACCTACGGCACAACCGACGTTGAAGTACACGCCTCAGGTTGGTAGTCTTACGGTAATACTGGGCATCGTCCCGCATTAAAGTACACGCCTCAGGACGGTTCAATTCCACGCGATGCAGTACACGCCTCAGGGATTTTTGTGACCACACGCACGACACATCACATCAATTTTTCACTCATTCACTCGCTCGAACATTATACAAACATGCTTGATTCCCAACCAGTAAAATTCAGCCCACACACACATCGAACCTCACTCATTTTACATGCTCAATTGGCGCATAAGCATGCCCAATTTCCAGCCAATTCAATTCAGCTCATACACGCACATAACGGGGCCACATTTCAATCAATTACTCCACAATTCAATGAGCTTGCAAGATCGCTATTGGACCCACAATCACAACCACTAGTACGAGCATAAATTCAACATTTCCATGTCTATTTTCAATCATAACAATCATCACAAACTAGCCACGACACCACACATCAACCGACACATTTAGTCCCCTAAGCCGGATCACATGCTCGTCATTTCAATCCACGATTTGCAGCACTCAATTCAGCATCAAATCAGTTCCGAATCATCACAATTTCACCCACAAATCAGCCAAGATCAGCCCTCAATTCAATCGACCCAAAATAGCCCTTAAACAGCCACTAATTAATCTAAATCAGCTCCTAATTGACCCGATTCAGCTTCTAATCAAGTCCGTCGATACCTGATATCCTAAGTAAAGTTTAGGATGCCACTTACTTGGAAACCTAAGCTAGCTCGGCTAAAGGGGAGGAGGGGCGGCAGTCCGGCGGTTGAGTGGCGGCGGGCGGCGGTGGCTGGACGGTGGCTGGTCTTCCGTGGCTGGACAGAACCGAATGAGGATGGTGGTGATGGTGTTCGGTGCAGGGAAAAACAGGGGAGGGAGAGGCGGTGAGGCGGTGGTGGCGATGGCGAGGCCGCGGCTTCACGGGGGGACGACAGTCGTCCGACTCGGCGGGGAAGCGACGGTGACAGCTGGCCTGGGAGGCTGGCCATGGTCACGGTGAGGTGGGGAGCGAGTGAGGGAGAGAGAGGTGCCGAGAGTGGGAGAGAGAAAATGGAATAAAAAGACTAAATGGCCAATAATTGGTGTCTAACACCCTAGGAAATGACCATCCTACCCTCCTCTCTATTTCCAAATCAACAGCCGCGATTCAATCTTATCCTAAGATCGACGGCCAAGATTAATCCTTACCAAAAATATCCGGGGGCAAAATTGGAGTTTCACAAAATTCCCAAGGGCAAGATTGTCCAAAAATTTCTATTTCTAAAGTTAGTGTGAAATGACTAAAATGCCCCTCTCACATAATACTTGGCCTTAACAAAGTCCCAGGGGTAAAATGGTCATTTTCCATTTCTCGCCAAAATTCGAATTTTCTGAAGAATCCGGACAAATCTGAGGCTGACCGAGCTAATAACAACATCGTCCAATTATCTTATCGTGACCTTCACAATTTTCAATGCCCAATCTTGGTCTCTAATTAATGATTAAATTTAATTAACGTAACTTGAGCGTATCTAGATCTAACAGGTGGCTTTTGGGGAAATTCCCACATTTGACCCGTGGTCGATACTGAATCAAGCCACGTTTAAGTTCACTCGGGTCGTGACGACCCCGGTTGCCACTTAATCGCAAGGATCGATCGCTAGTTCCGACGGGCACGATCGTTTGGTATAGATTTGGGGTCATTTGTCAATTCATCTCATGGTCAAGCGGAATTACCCGCGATCCACTAATATGATAGCGGCGAATTGATCCCTAACTATCCTTGGATTGGCCTACATTGGCTCAAAATGTCACCTCAACAATTTTCATGGTCGAATGTCAGTTCACGATCGAGTTTCTTTGGTCGCGCGAATTTAAATCCCTAAGTAGCCATTCCCTATTGGTTAGTATCCTAGGAGTGATCAGTTCCGGACGAGATCTAACTACAAGCACGTTCATAAAATCATCCATTTCATAAATCCTAAGTGGGTCGGATTTTATAATGTCACAGGCTTAATCGGTCTCTCATGGAGAAGACAAGGAGTATGCTAAGTGGTGTAAGCTTAGCAGTTGATTTTTGGACGGAAGTAGTAGCTATCGTATACTATTCAAGAGTAGGTCTCGTACATGAGTTTTGAAGGATCATACACCATTTGAGGTACTATTTGGGAAGAAGCTAGACATATCACATGTTAAAGTATTTGGTTGTAAAGCATATGTACGTGTTCAAAGAAAAAGAGGAACAAGCTTGAGAGCAAGTCAGAGAAGTGCATCGTCATTGGGTACAACAATGTTGTCAAACGGTATAAACCGTAGAATCTCGATATAAATGTATAGTCTACAGCAGGGATGTAGTGTTTAAAGAATCTACGACAAATCAAATTGTTCCACAAGCTCCTGAAAAACCATAGACAGTTGAGTTAGAAGTTGGTTTAAAGGAAGAGACAAAAGCTACACAAGTTGGAATAAAAAGTTCAGATTCTAAAGCTAATGCGGCTAATGAGGCAGTAGATGTAACAGATTTTGAAACTGAGTTTGAAATTGAAGCACCACCTGAATAGGTCTTAAGAAGGTTCACACGGCTGAGAAAATCACCTGAAAGATATACCTTGTTTGCCTGTAATGAAAATTGTGATTTGTTTATTATAGGTGATGATCCAAGTACTGTTAAGGAAGTAAGGAGCACGAAGGATGCCAAATAGTGGGAGAAAGCCATGAAAAATGAGATTGACTCATTGGATAGAAACGGAACGTGGAGTTTGGCAAAACCACTTGCAGACCGAAATGCAATTGGCTGTAAGTGGGTGTTCAAGATGATGTCCACAAATGGAGAGATAGAACAATATAAAACTCGTTTGGTTGGAAATGGATACTCATAGATAAAGGGAGTTGATTATTGTGAAATTTTTTTCCAGTTGCTAAATTGAATTCTGTAAGACTTTATTTAATTGTAGCAGCTGCATACAATTCAGAGGTAGAGCAAATTGATGTGAATACAACATTCGTTTATGAAAACTTGGAGGAGGATATTTACAAGAAGCAACTAGAAGGATTTGATTAAAGGAAAAGAAGATTTTGTTTGCAGATTTTGTTTCTATGGCCTGAAGCAATCTCCAAGAATGTGGTATTAGAAGTTTGACTCATTTGTCTTGAAGCTTGATTTTGTTCATTGTGATGCTAATCATTGTGTTTACATGAAGAGGTTAGAGAATGATTTTGTTATCTTAAACTTAAATGTTGATGATATAATGCTAGTCAGGAATAGTTTGGGAATTATTAGCACCATGAAAGGATTGTTGGCAAAACAGTTTGAGATAAAAGACCTAGACCTAGCAAACGTCATCTTGGGCATGTAGATAAAAAGGGAGCATGAGAATGGGAAATTGTGGCTAAGTTAGAAGAAATATGTTGAAAGTGTAATGAAAAAATTCAACATGATTGTAAACCCATGAAGACCCCCATGTCCACAAATTCCAAGTTATTAGTGCTCCAATATCATAAGACTAAAGAGGAAGCTAAAGAGATAACAACAATCCCATATGCATGCGCAATTGGGAGCTTGATGTATGCCATGGTGTGTACTTGTAGAGATATTACCCAAGCAGTGTGAGTATTGAGCATATATATGTCCGATATAGGGAAAGAACATTGGATGACAGCAAAACAGGTCCTTCATTATCATCACAGAACATCTGACTTTGAGCTATGTTATGAAGGCATGAAAAGCTCAAAAGGACATCAAGTATTAGAACTGAAGTGTTCTGTGGATGTTGATTGGAGAGGAGACATTGATAGCAGAGGTCAACCAGCGGTTATGTTGTTTCCTTGTTCGGTGGAGCTATGAGTTGAATGGGTAAGAGACAAAGCACGGCTGCTTTATTTACTACTAAAGCAGAGTACGTAGCTCTTACTCATGCTGCTAAGGAAGTGATCTGGCTATGTAGATTGTATAAAGAACTTGGTTTAACACGAGGAGGAGTGAATATTGGATGTGATAATCAAAGTGCTATATTCTTGGCTAAGAATCCTGGATTTCATGCAAGAAAAAAGTATATCAGCATATAATATCACTTTATTCGAGAGAAAGTGGAACAGAAGGTTGTAATGCTGGAGAAAATTGACAAACAGGTGAATAGCACAATTTTTTTTACCAAGGCAATGAGTGCAGAAAAGTTTGAATAGTGTATAACTGTATTAGGGCTAA